GATATTCCTATACAAGAGCTGTGACACCCTTGCAATTTGGAGAGCATGACAGAAACATGCAGAAACACACAGTCCTAGAACCCCTAATTTTCTTTTCTTTTATCTAAAAATGAGTTCAACTGTGAGATCAGGATTTGTGCTTTAAATAGTCCTTTGTAATAAAGTTGGAGAGGGCTAGAAGAAAACCAACAGCAGTTCTGTTATTGGCTGACCTTCTCCATTGCTAGAACCAAGGGCATGAGTTTGCTGAATAAGGCAAAGGTTGGTTCAACCCATTGATAAGCAGAGAGAGTGACCCAAGGAATTCAAGTCTAAGAGATTTGCTATGCAAATCTTCTTTCCTCTTATTTTGATCCAAGACACACAGATTAAGATTTCTCAATAAGATTTTAAGGGGTACAATTTTTGAATAATCCAATTCAAGAGGTGCCATGACTTATGGGGTCAAACAATTAAGTTCATGAACTCATCCTAGAAAAATTGCTACATACCTAATTGCTGAATATCACTATGGTTACCTTCAAAGTACTCCCTTTGGAAAGCAATGCACTGACTCCAGAGACTAGTCCACCCTTCAAAGCAATTTTAGAACTATTTTTCTCTGGAAAGGCCATTAGAGCTGTTGGTGTGTGAGGTCTGACAATTAAGCTTGCAAAGTCATCCTAGAAAAAGTGCTTTGAAGGGTGGACTAGACCCGAGGTATGTAACACTCTTTCTAGGATGAGTTCTCAAACTTAATTGCCTGACCTACTAAAAGAGAATTTGGGGCATGTTTCCTACTCCTGCACACTGGAGGAAGATCATGTATTCCTGTTTGCTTTTTTGGTAACAAAATATGAATTATGACTAACTAGAGGCTTTATCCCCCGCCCCCACTTGATGTGAGTATTCAGATCATGTGTTTGGGAGATCTTTGTCCCTAGAGAAATTGCTGAAGTAGAGAAGTGGGCCGAACAGAGAGAGGACCTAGACTCTGGTCCCAAATCTGCCACCATGAGCTGCAAGGCTCTGGGAAAGTCCTGCACCTTTCCTGAGTGAGGCTCATGGTTGGGGGGGGTTGTAAAATAATTTTGGGATCAGAAAAGGGCCTGTTTTCTTTAAAACATTGTTGTGAGACTTCAAGAGGCATATAAGCATTTTAGGAATATGAAGTAGACCTTTGCACATGTCTGATGTCTATTCTAATTTGTCTAATTCTAGACAAATTGTTATCATTTTTTATTAATAGCTGCCCCTCACAGAACATCTACTACACTCAAGTACTGCCATACGGTCTTTCACTCAATTCCCTATACAGCTTTGAAAGATTGATATTTCTCTATTTTAGAAAGGAGAATGAAATCCAGGGAAGGTTGAGTGGCTTACCCAGGGTCTCAAAGCAATAAGTGGCAGATCAAACCCAGAACTGCTAACACAGCTTGTTGCAACACGGTCTGGCTTCTGTCTGTGATACAATGGATAGATATAAAACTACAAAAAGACTCCACTTCCTACAGTTTATGCCTGATTACAACAGATTATTCTCTAAAATGAAGAGGAAAAGAGGAAGTAGCAGCATTTCACATGCCCAGAGCCCAAAGGAATCAAGAGAGATTTATTCTTTAATACAATAACAGTGTAGCATGGTTTCCCTTCCCTCTCTGTTATTTAGTTTAGTTTTCCAGGAAATTATTCGCTGTGGGGGAAGGCAATGGACTGTCTAAATCTGTGTGGCCTCTAGCCAATGGTTTTCCTTAAAGAAAGTACAAATTGTAGGAAGAAGAACATGGAAGAAAGGGAGGGCAGCAGAGCCCCTGGGAGAGAGAAAGCATCTTCCATACCTTGGCACATGGCATGGTGGAAACACTGATGTGGAGGTAAGAAATTTCTATGCTGTGCCTGCTTCCTCTCCTCTGGCTCCCAGATTCTTCCCTACTTAGTAAAAAGGGGCACTATGACCGGATGTTCCTAAAATCTCTCCCCATGCTGATATTCTTCAGTGCACACCAAGATTTTTAAAAAGAAACTTCTAAAAAGGTCGCAAAGTATACATGGACAACTTCTAATCACTTAAACATCAGTTTCTTCTACTTTAGACCTTGGCAGTCTGTGGCATGAGCTTAGTACACAGAGGGCTAGACGTCAGCAAGTAGATAGTGTCCTTGTGGGGGAAAAGGAGGGTGGGAGGGTTGAAAGAAAAGTTGAGAAATTTTCAATAATTTTTTTGATTAGGAACATGAAAATATACTTTATATTTGTTTTGAAAGTGCTGCATAGGACAAAAGTTCCCAGGGCTATTCACTGCCCTGCAAAATCTTTTAAAAGCAAGAGCCCTGCCTGTCATATATAGTAGCTTCAGCACCTAGAACAGCGCCTGCCTCTCGTAAGTGCTTGAATATTGAGTGGACAAATGAATGCATCAATGAATGAGTCCTTCTCAAATAAAAGGAGTGGAAAATGGAATGTTAATATGTTTGCTTAGATGCAGGTAAATGTCTTACTTGAAAAAAGAAAACCCAGGTGCTTTCTAGTGGTAGGTGACTAAGCTAAATCTAATCACAAAGACTGTGCTAGTTTTCAGAACTGATGGAATGGAAGATGTGGACTTGGTTTAGCATTGCATTCAGTTTAGCTCAGAACTAGCAAACAGTTTGATAATGTAGAATACTGCCAATTTCAAAGACACAGAATAGTCTCAAGAATATTCTCAAGGTCAAAGACACTGAGAATAAAGTATCCCTATAGTTTAATGGCAAATAAAGTCCACACAGAGTGGGAGATCTACCAGAACAGAGAAGCCAAGAATCTAGAACTACCTGCCAGTTATGATTATCTCAGGAAAGAACCACATGAGCATTCAGGGACCCTTCTGTTTCTTACTTATTTTTGGACTCACCCAGCCCAGTCAATTTGTCAAAGCACATTTTTATTTATAAGATAAAGCCATTTAAAAATTCAATGATTTATCTCTAGATTACAAGTAACTTTACTAGCCACATTTGCTTCTCAATCCAATTTCTTGGCCTTTTACCCTAAGAATGTACTTTGACCTCAAACAGATGTACAGCCTGTAATCGAGACAGGTTAATCCTGGGGAATTTCTGGATCTCTCACCTGAAGAGGTGGAGGACTCAGGAGAAAGATAGGGCTTACTTGGGTATAAGGCTGCTGCATCCCTAATGGTCTGTAAATACTTGGAACGAGCTTCTTTCGCAGTCTCACTCTTCGAAGGAATGAAGCTTTAGGTACTGTGGGTGCCTCTGAAGGGCTTATGAAAATCAATGACGAAATTAAAGGTGGGAAAGGGAGAACCACAAGGAAGTTTCTAAATGATCTTCGATTTCTCTGACACTTTGGTCTTCAAGGAAAGGTTTTTATTCTCCCGGAAAAGCATGCACGGAATAGCAAAGACTTTAAATTGTATAGCATTGCTCAGGAGCAGTCCTTGCTAGATTTCCCTCCACCCAGCTCCTCTGAAATCAGGACAGGAGGAGAAGTGAAGAATGGAAATCTCTTCTAATCTCTGAAGTCATCATCTGGGAGGGAACTGGGGTTTCTTGACTGCTGGAATTCTTTTGAAATTAAATTAGAGATAGCAGGTGGGGCTTATGCTATACCTTGAGGCCACACACAAAACAAACTTTTATGATATTATCTCTAATCTTTATTTTAACTGTCCTGAGCTGATCTGAGGATGATACAAAAGCTGTGGAAAGCACCTTATCGCAGAAATCTTATAGGTCATTATGAAAGTTTTGAGATACATAAAGTCCAGAAGAATGGAAACTCATGAAGCCCTGATAAGCTAAGTGGGTTGAAATTTGTACAAGTAAATCAGAAAGGATGCTGTCCACTATGTTTCTCAGAAGTGAGATTATGGACCATAACACAGTACCTCTGAAAACTTCCATAGCAATTTGTGTATTGGTTGCCTGAGAACGGAAGATTCTGGCTCATCTCTGTATCCTTAGAAGAGTTCAGCTTGACTCAAACTCAGGACCATAGAAGAATAGTAAGACATGAAGCTGGACACAGGTATCTATCAATCTCTCTCCCACTGAATCACTGCAGTTAGAGTGCTTAAAATGTAGAGGTTTAGGTGTAAAGCTCCAGGCTATCCAGGACAAGGCCTAATAGAGAAGAGGGCTCAAAGGAACCTGACTAAAGATTGACCAAAAAACTGGTCCAGGAGCTGCATGGTGGCTCTACTACAATACGAAGATTACACAAAGCATTCAACCCCATCCACATGGTCAATAAACTTGGGAGCCGGGGGTGAGGAAGTTCTAGATTACAGTGAAGTAAGAGAGAGAGAAACATGGTCCTGGTTTGGGGATGGGGTTTAATCCACAAATAATGTTTAAGTCTTCATCCCTCTGTCCCCTTGATATTAACAAGGAAGCACAAGCAGAAGACATAGGCCTAATTGGTTTCCCTTTAAGTCTTGCTTTCAGGTGGCTTGTTACCCAACTTCTGATGACTCAAATTCTGACCCTAGCCTCACATCTGGTAATGCACTCTTCTGGGTCTTCGGGGGAGACAGGGCCTTCCTTTCATGTGGGAAGTACTCAGTAATTAGCTTGTGCCAGTGAGGGTTGTAGTCAGAAGACCTGGGACTCTCTCCTGATCTGCCACCTTACTCTTTGTCACTGCTATGGAAACCTGTTGTTTAGTCTACTCAGCACCCATCTCCATTGTCTTTCTGAAAACTCTTTTTTTTTGAGACAGAGTCTCACCCTGTCACCCTCAGTAGAGTGCTGTGTCATCACAGCTCACAGCACCCTCAAACTCTTGGGGTTAGGCAATTTTCTTGCCTCAGCCTCAGGACTACAGGTGCCCGCCACAAGGCCCAGCTATTTTTTTGTTGCACTTCGGCCAGAGCTGGGTTCAAACCTGTGATCCTCAGTATATGGGGCCAGTGGCCTACCCACTGAGCCACAGGCACTGTCCCCTGAAAACTCTTTTCTTCCCTTGGCCCCAATCTAGTCAAACCAGTTGTTTTTTTTTTTTTCCTCTTTTCCAGTTGTAACTTTGAGTTATAACTCAGGGTGTATCTTTACAACCAGGATTAAGAGACTTATAACTTTATTTTAATACTGTACTTCGTACACCAGCTATCACAACACATCATAAGCCTTTGGCACAAAGATAAGATATAGATAGCTCAGTTAGTATCAAATGCTGTATGGTCCTTGTTTTTATGGAGCTACCTGGAGGTATCATGGTACTTACTGAAATAGATAATACACAGTTTGTAGAAAAGAGAAGTTACAAGTTTCAATAAATGACATAAGAGGGAAAACAAGGAAATGCTCAATAGGAACTCCTTACCCTGGTTTGGGGGTTATTTGGGGATGACTTCCCAGACGACATTTTATCTGAAGATGAGTAGGAGTTTTCAAGGCAGTAAGGAAAGAGAATAACATTGTCAAGAGCATGGCAAGTTCAACAAACTGAAAAAATTAAAAAGTTTGTTATTACCCAAATGCAGCATAAGTCAACTGTGTGAGAGAAATGTGAGAAATTAGGCAGAGAAATTGGATAGAATCTGGGGCAGAAAAAGCCTTGAGGGTCATGGTTAAAAGATTTGCACCGCTCAGCGCCTGTAGCTCAACCGGCTAAGGTGCCAGCCACATACACCTAAGGTGGCGGGTTCAAATCCAGCCTGGACCCGCCAAACAACAATGATGGCTGCAACCAAAAAATAGCCGGGCATTGTGG